GGAAAATTGATAATGTTTTTGTTATATATTTTTTAACTGCTTTTATTTTGTTTTTTTTTTTTTTTTTTTTTTACACAAAACAAAGAGTTTTTAATGAGACAAAAGATTTCCAGAGCTCCATGATATTCCTAAAGAGAAAGCATAGCAGACTCATCTTGTTTGGAAAGATAAGAGTCAATGCAAAAAAATAATTGTTATTGGCTATTAACAAACAGCATTATGTATGTTACGTTTTGCCATTGATTCTCTTGGTATCCTTCAAAAAATATTACATTTTCATCTTTTAACCACACTAAGCTGTCAGAAGACTGAGAATACGGTTGTTGTGTGCTTACTTCACTTTATAACTTCTTGTATTTTTATTTAAATGTTTAAGACACCAGAACCATTGGGAGGAGAGCAAGAAGACATGGAAGGGATTTTAGAGTCTCCATGTTTAACGTAGCAGAGTACCACCAGATGTACCTGGGCACTGAGAGGATTCGTGTGCCAGAGGTGCTGTTTCAGCCTTCGCTAATTGGGGAAGACCAGGCTGGGCTGGCAGAGACCATGCAGTATATACTGGACCAGTAAGTAAATCTAAACGTACAGCAAACACTTGGAGTGGCACAAAGGATACATTTATTAAGACTACAAAATTGCTAATCCTTCTCTGCTCATTAGGAAGCTAAAATGTAATAATTGTAATGTGAGGACAAACTCCAGTATGCTATATACATTTTTCTCAATCCGCTTTTACCTACTTGGTGGGGATCGCAATACTACAAGAGTATTCTAAATCTATTTTGTTCTACAATGTATCACCAGGTAGGGGTAAAAGTTTAAAATAACATTTTATTTATTAAATATAAAATACATATTAAAAAACAGTTGAAGCCACATATCCAGCAACATGAATGTCCCCTTTTTGTGCAAACAGTGTATAAGCTGCAGTCCAATGAACCATAGAGCAAGTAGCTGCCTCTCTGTATCTACGCAGCATACTTGACTATAATAATATTATAGATCCTGTATAAAAATATTATTGTTATACAGGATTTATATAGCACCAACAGTTTGCACAGCACTTTACTATATAAGGAAGACATTACAGTTATAATACAGATCAAGATAACATGGTAAGGATGGCTCTGCCCGTGAGAGCTTACAATCTAAAATATAGTGCGTCTCCACCTTGCAGCAAATGCCCTTGCTGTTCTTGCTGTGGATGTGATGTTGGGTAAAAACAATGTGTGATAATATTCAGCAAGGGAATCTGAAGCCTCCATGCAATCTGTTCTGAAACCACCAGCACGACCCAAAGAGACCAAAGCAGCCTCTAACACATCCCTCCTGTATTCCACTGCACTAGCACACAGATTCAAGCAAGCATAGTTCCATATTATGAGGCGATCAGTCCACAGAGCTTTTCAGGAGTCAGTATAGGAAGCTTGAATATTCCAAAGTACTGCTGCTCCAGTATCCCATGTGATGCTGATCACATGACCAAATACTAAGACGTTAAACACGTTTTCTTAGCCAAAGGGGAACGTCAGTGTTATACATAACCCTAACCCACTCAAGAGTATGCATCCTGCCTAGCCATACGGGGGGTTGGATTTTCTCTTGCAAGCTGCTGAATGAGAGAAAATCACTAAAGCCGGGCATACACGATTCTGTTTTATTGTTCAACCTGCGGCCTGAACCAAAAAAAAAAAAGATTCCACCAAATACACTTAAGTGAGCGTTGATCGAGGAATCTCCCTCTATTTCCTTTGTATAGCAGCTGAGTGGCTGCTAGCTCTGTTCGAGAATTTTCAAACCACCTCCTTTGGTCAGCTGATCAAGGGATGCCGGGCGAAAGGGTGCTGACGGCGGCATCCACACAGCGAATGTAGATGCGTGTATACCCGGCTTTAATTTCCCAATCCACTCAATCCACTCTTTACAGCATGGATGGAGGAATATCCTCTGTTAGGTATTTTGTTAAGCCCAAACAGTGATTGCAGTCACTGTCCGACTGACCATTTTCCCCCGGCTCAGTCAATTTTTAGACTTACTTTTGTTGAACTGGGTGATGCTTGCATGGCTACAAGTCGCATATCAGTTGATTTCAGAAGGGATTGGCAAAGATTTGAGGCATCTACAGCCAGCATGAGGGCATAAAACCAAGGATGCCTGCCTTCACCTTCCCTAATTGAATTTCTGCTTGAACAATCGAAGGAGCTGGATGGAAAATTGTCAGCCAAACAGCAACTCCATCCAGTCAGATGCAGTCGATGTTCGGTATTCAGAAGGCCAAGGGGTATGGCTGTCTGAATATAAAAGCAGTCAGTGCCATCTTGTCTGTCCGATGAGAAAGAAAGCCTCAATGGATAGTGGATTGGCAGTTAGCAGGGCTTAAGCATGAAGTCAGAGGAAGGTAGGCCCCAGTAACAAAGTAAAACTAAATCAGAGGAAAATATTTTTTGAGTAATTAATGTAGGCATGTATTCTGTGGTGTCTGCTCCTAGGCAGTATTTTTACTATTGCAAGTTCAAAATGGAGCAAGGTTCACAGCTACTGATTGTCCTGCTTTACGTGCACTTCAGTCCACTTTGCACTTTGGCTAAGATCATGTGACTGGTGCCTCAGCATTTGGTCACATGACTGACATCAGAGGGATACTGGAACAGTGTTTTTTTCCATATAGGTAAGCTGTATTTAGTTTTTTTTTTTTTCCTTCACCATTGAATCCTGTATATGCTGTGCCGGGTATTCTGATTCATTGTCATACTCCTTAGGTATCCACAGGAGGTACAGCAGCAGCTGGTGCAGAATGTCTTTCTAACAGGAGGTAACGTAATGTACCCTGGAATGCAGACCCGCATGGAGAAAGAACTGCTGATGATGAGACCGTTTGGCTCCACGTTTCATGTATGAGTGCTCAGACTAATGTGTTTTTGAGCTGTTGGGCAGTTAAATAGAATTTATATTATTTGTATCTATTTCCTATTTCTTTAAATATTTATTATCTCAGGAGTTAAAAATATTTTTGTTTTGTTTTTACTACGGTAAACATGTAATATTGAAAGAATTTTTCTTCTGGGTCTCATAAACAATGGGATATTTTTAGTTTTATAGTTTATTTTCTAGCCTGTTGATTACGAGGCTTAATAACTCACGATATTATCCCTCACTTCCTGTTCCTGTGAGTCCTATACATGAAATGAGGGGGCACCTGTCAGAGTGAGAGGAAGGCACAGACAGCAATAGAAACATTTTCAGAGGTTCTAAACCTTTCTCACTGAAAAGTGTGTTTATGTCTGTGTCCTGTTGGCAAGATTTCTCTTGACTTCCTGTCCTGACAGGAAGTAAGGGCTAATCTCATAAACATGGCCACTAAACGCAATAATCACTGATTTGTTCAAAAAGAAATGAAAAGTTTTGGCTGTAAGTTAGGTTTTAGGTACCATAACATTTTCTGGCTTGGTGTAAAACTGCAGGGATCCCAACCTGAAAAAAGTAGTTTCAGGGAGGTGCCCTCTGACCCATCGCAGGGAGGGAAACACCCCCCTGAAATGATGGCAAATAGCAAGGGAAGCAATAGCTTCTTTGCTATCTGCTGGTTTTTGTTTTTCTAGTATTCTGACACCTACTGCCGTCAGAATAAAAAAAAGAAACGGCATAGGAATGAATAGCTAGATTGCTATTGGCTATTTCAATTTGCAATAGCCAATAGCAAGCTGGCTATTGAACCCGCCCTCCGCTGCTGTCAATCAGCAGAGGAGGAACTGATGGAGAACTTCAGGTTCACCTCTGCTGATTGACAGCAGCAATGGGCAGGGAAAGGTTTATTCTGCTAGATCGAGCAGAGTAAACCATTCCGGGAGCAAATGTTTCTGTCCCGGGCGTCCGGGAGCCGCAATCTAATAGCGGGAAACGCCCGGAAGGTCCGGGAGAGTTGAAACTGAGCCAACAGTAAATCACCTCTGGTGTTTTTGACACTGATTGCTGTGTTAATTGTAGAGTGCATTCATCAAATCACTGTGTAATTGTTCTCCACAGGTCTCTATGGCGGCAAACCCTGTCCTTGATGCATGGCACGGAGCCTCTGACTGGGCACTTCAGAATTTGGAGGTAGATGAAGGCTGGATAAGCAGGAAAGAATATGAGGAGATGGGAGGAGAATACTTGAAGGAGCATGTGGCCTCTAACAGTCACACTGCCATTCACTTGCCCAAACCACCACCACCACGTACTGCCGCGGCACCCAATAGTCAGGAGATGGAAAGTGCTCTACAGACAAGTTCTGGCACTGTTCCACCATAGGGAAACTGTGCTACAGAGGGCTGAATACTGAAGCTGACACTGAAAGGTGCAGCACAGAGCATACTGGGAGCCATTGTTTCAGTGTAAGGTGCATAGTGCCAGGAGGTTAGGATTATCTACTTCTGTAAAAAATTCTATTGACATTGGATGTTTCTAAGCTATTTTTGTATGAATATTTATTTTTTATAATAAAACACAAATTCCCAAATTGTTATTCAATTAAAAGGAAATTTAAGCTAAGGATTATTACTGGCTGACTGGTCTGCAGCTACTCAGCCCCATACACAATAAACTGTGTTTTGATACCTTTTATATCAGGATCAAGCATTAACTTTTTCAACAATTTAAGCCAGAGAAGTTCTTCTATTGGATTGGACTACATAGGCCAACCTACACTCCTCACATGCATCAATGAGGCTTGGCCACCTATGACCCAGTCACCGGTTCACTGGTTTTCCTTCCTTGGACCACTTCTGGTAGGTCCTGACCACTGCAGACTGGAAACATCCCACAGCAGCTGCTCTGACCCAGTCGTCACAATTTGGCCCTTGTTAAAGTTGCCCATTTTTCTGCTTCCAACACATCAAGTTCAGAGACAAAATGTTCACTTGCTGGCTAATATATCCCACCCACTTCCAGGTGCCATTGTAGCAAGATAATCAATGTTGTTCACTTCACCTCTCAATGGTCATAATTTGTGTTCTGTGCAGCCTAGGTTCAAACAGCTGATGGAGATCTTCACCACTTTTTATGCCTGGATATATTTATCTCGAGATATGTTATCTGGATGAATCTAATGCTATAAAAGTAACTACAGCTGCCAGTGTATCAGTTTATATGTTTTGCTAGTTACTGCCTGTGTAAGTTCTCTGCACACTATATTTTATGATCCTGTGTTTGAATGAAAATTAATTTTCCATTTGTTTGCAACCTGAAAGGTAATATTTATTTTCCTTGTAACCATGACAACAGTACTCAGTAACAGTACAGTATTTAATCAGAGTATCCTGTATCTAACATACTGCTTCTCCTAGAAGTATTCGCAGAGCCTCCGTTTAGGATGCGGATGGCCTTAAAGTGACACTAAACTCAGAAGTTGAATCTTAAAAATACATTCAAGTGCCTTAACTATAAACAGAAATGTATCTTATTTGTGTATCACTCGACTGTAGATCCTCAAATCATCTCTGAATTGGTGCTGACACTGTCCTGGAGGGTGGCTCCTTTTGCTCCCCATGGTCCCTGTGTGTGTTGTAAAGTAGTCACCGCTCCAAGCTCGCTCCTGTGATGGACTACAATCTTGATGCAAATTCATAATTTAAATGTGAGATTGTAGGTTCTCTTTAGGGAGACATTACGGGTCTATTAGACCCCTAATATCACCTTTCTACTTAACTGAAGCTGATCAGGTACTGATTGGGCTTCAATAGCTTCTCCCTGCCCACAGCAACCAGCGAATGACAGCACTGAAAATGTGAGATTGTAGTCCACCATGGCAGTGAGTTTGGAGCGGTGGCTACTTTACAACACACACAGGGACTATGGGGAACAAAAGTAGCCCCCCTCCAGAAGGAAGGACAGTGTCAGCACCAATTCAGAGATGATTTGAGGATCTACAGCTGAGTGATACACATAAGATGGGGTACATGCATGTATTTTGAAGGTTTAACTCCTGAGTCTAGTGTCACTTTAAGTAATGTTTCACATCTAAAGGGATGCCAGCAGTGCATAATTCTTATCACAACACTGAAACGGATCATGCTAACTCAGAAGTTCACTGACCTTTAGTTCTATTCCTAACTTACACTAATAAAAAAACAACCAAACATAATGACATGAGAGGAGATGAGATGATGAGGAGAGGAGATGTTAAAGGGGGCACATCATCCTACTAATAGCAATTTTCTTTTCTTGTTATTAATTGTTTTTAAAATTTTTAACACTGCTTAAAATGTATACTACAAATTGTTTGTGCACATTGTTGGTGTACTAGCACAATATATTGTGATTTTTGTCATGCATTTTAGAATGTATCCAGCAGAGGGAGCACTGCTCATACTCATGTGTTCCCCATTTTTTAAAGCACAAACAAGGCTTTCTTTTGGTTATATTGTCTTGCAAAAAAATGCGATCCACAAAAAAAAAAAACCTTAAACTGACACTAAACTAAGTACATTAAAGTGACATTAAACCCTCAGATTTTTTAACATAAACCAATACTGTAATGTGTGCCTTACTGTTATCCATGGTTGTTTCCCTTCTCTTTGCTGCTCTTCCTTTTAAATCTGTTCTCATACTGGGCAGAACTTCTGTTTTGCAGCAGACTGCCTTGTCTCTGGAATGGCTACATGGTGTCTGTGTATAGGTTTGCAACCTGAGCCAACACTACAGGAAGAGGCACTCAGCTGCAAAGGGAAGTTCTCCCCCAGCATGAGAAGACATGCAGATTTAAAAGGAAGAGCAGCAAAGAGAAGGGAAACTACCATGGATTACAGCAAGGTGCACATTACATGTTAAAAAATCTGAGGGTTTAATGTCACTTTAACTAAATGTATCTTATTTGTGTATCACTCGGCTGTGGATCCTCAAATCATCTCTGAATTGGTGCTGACACTGTCCTTCCTTCTGGAGGGGGGCTGCTTTTGTTCCACATGGTCCCTGTGTGTGTTGTAAAGTAGCCACTGCCTCAAACTCACTCCCGTGGTGGACTACAATCTCATGTTTTCAGAGCCGTCATTCCCTGGCTGCTGTGGACAGGGAGAAGCTGATCAAGTGCAATCAGTACCTGACCAGCTTCAGTGGTGTAAAGGTAATGTTAGGGGTCTAATAGATCCTTAATGTCTCTCTAAAGAGAACCTGTCACCTGTAATGTTCTATTACAAAAGGGGCTCTTTGTTTCCTATGTTACAGCAGTAAAGTTACATAGAAAAGAAAATTAAAATGTTTTAAAGCCCTCCCCCCACATGCATGCTCATACGTATATATAAATACGTGCATTGGTGCACCTATGAAAACAGAGATTGTACCAGAGATTTTACATATATCTACTGCTAGCAAGCAGTAGGTATATGCAAAAACCTTTAGAAAAAATTAACAAAAGGGTTAAAACTTGTGTCTCTGTTGCACGCTCCCGTCCGAAGATCTGAAGATTCTCGGGCGGCTGCAAAGGATCATGGGGTGGACGCATGCGCAGTAGCAGATCTTTGGACAGGAGGGGAGATGCAAGGTAAGTCACTGCAGGCAGCGTGCACCCCCACAAACTCCATGGGACAGGAAGAGACAGGAGTCAGCGCTGGATCGGCATTGGGAGGGATTTTAGGCTTTAATGTCACTTTAAGTGCTCATTTCTGTCTATGGAGGAGAATAACAAAGTCATGCTCACCTGATTCTCGCAGTTGGCTCGCTCATAGACCAGTCCCTGGGGCCTCACTCCCCCTCCGCTGCAGCAGTCTAAGGTCCCTGAGTCATGTTTTATTCACTGTGTATAGGGTGTGAGGATGCCAAGGGCCATACCTTCGCTGCAGCATAAGAGGAGACATGCTTCAGGCACTGGACTACGAGCGACCTGGCTCAGAGGATTAGGTGAGTACAACTTTGTTATTTTCCTCCCTAGACCAAAACAAGCACATAACCCTTGCAGCGCAGAGGGAGCCCCACTGTAAGGGTTAATACAAACTTTCCCAGAGTTCTGCTTTAAAGACTCATGAGTTTCATTGATTGCATGAGTAGGCAAAGTCAGAAATGGCTTGCTCTCTGGTAATACAGATTAATGTTTAAGTTTTGTATGTGTATACTGGCACTCTGTATTGTTCACAGGAAACCACTCAGTACCAGTAGGTGGCTGGTAAAGCTGTACCTGTTTAATGTAATAACACATGACATGGAAAGTAGTGCAAGGCTGGCTGAACACAGGCTTTATTTAGCATCAGTCACACCATCAGGAAGTGAGCAATGGAAATGCAACCTGCAGGTCTATGTGAAAACATTTAAAGTGTGCGTGCGGGCTGTTTTGGGTGTACTAATCTAATTTCTCATCAGTAGATTTTCCTTTATGCTGAATTTTGCACATTTCTTTTTTTTGGGTTTACACAGGGGATTTCCCTATTAAAAAATAATTATGGGACCCTGGCAGGATCAACAGATATCTTTTTTCACATATAGAACAGCTACAACAAAATACTTTTAATGGTATATTGAAAAGGCTAAAATGGAGCAAATAAGAGAAGTTAATTGTTGGGGTTTCCATACACTTTGGATAGAAAGGAAAAGGTAAGGCACCATTCACATGGGGACCTTGCTGCATTATGGGATCAAGAGCCTCTGGATTCTTGTCACAGGAATCCCAGGTGTCCCCATTCAGATGTGACCGCTGTATCCATTGAAGCAAATTGGATATATCTCACTTCCTGTCTCTTGAGTGACACGCAGAGGAGCATAGTTATCGGTAGGGTAAGTCTAAACATTTTACAGATGTTTCTGAAATTACAATTCTCTTGCTTCCTGAAAGTTATCAAGGTGTATACAAAACTGAGCTGGTAGACTTCACCAGCAGGTGACACAAAATGCGAAATCCATATTTGTCCCTACGCTGAGGGGTCTAAGTCATTTGACTGGGTGAGGGGGTCAGCTGTCTACCTGAATTTACTGAATGACCAGGTGTTTCCATCAGTGGATTGTTTCTTTCCTGATGGCACATTGGGTATATTCCAAGATAATGTCAGGATACATCGGGCTCAGATTGTGAAAGAGTGGTTCAAGGCATCATTGTCACACATGGATTGGCCACCACAGAGTCCAGACCTTAACCTTTCACCATATAAGGTAAATGACATCAGCACAAGCATCCCGCCCTATTCTTTACATGCAGCTGCGGGGCAGGGGAATGCCCAGCCCGCAGCTGATTGGATGGACGTACCCATGGCACTTGTTCAGAGGAGCTTAGGTTCAGATCAGGTTTGGTCCAAACCTTAGCTCATCCCCAGATGTACTCTCTCTGCTGC